TTCTCTCCAAGAAGTGTATTTACCTCAAGGAAATGTTCAATTCATATGTCTGTCTTTTGTTTGGTTGGAAGCCACAGGTGTGGATTCAATTCCAGACCTGAAGGGCAGCTAGGGGCCATAGTCTCAGTGGTTCCCACGGGCTCTATCAGACCAGCAAACCTGGTCTCTCTCTCTCTCTCTCTTTTTTTTTTTTTTTTACATGATTTTGAGTTTTGTTCCAAATTGTTCTCCCTCTCTATCCAGAACCTCCAAGTGGTTAACATTGACTGCTGCTTTGCAGATTGTTTTACAACTATGGAAACAGACTCTGGGTTCACATTCTGGCTGTGCAACTTGTTGTCTCTGTGACCTTGAGCCATGGTCTTAAATGCTGTGTCTTAGTTTTCTGATCTATAAAATGGTTATAATGGTAGTCTCCACCTCACAGGGCTGTTATGAGAGTTAATGGGTTCATGTGCTTAGCTTTAAAGCCTCTAAAACAGGGCCTGGCACATAATAAATGTTAGTAGTTGTTGATTATTATTACTTTGGCTGAAAAACTGTGCTCCTCCTTTAAGATATCAGGTGTAATGTCTTCTCCTTCAGCAAGCCTTTACCAAACCCAGGCTCCATTAATACCCATGATGCTACACTCAGGCCAATGTTACCAAGGGATTATTTGTTCAATAATGTCTCTCTTCCCATCCTGACTGAATTCCATGAGGCTAGAGGCGGGCCTCTCTCGGTGCAGATTTTGTCCACAATCCTGGCATACTGAACTGAGTGATTGTGAATTGAGTAGACACAGTGTATGTGGCTGGGTATATAGATTAACTATATGACTGTGTGTACAGGTATGTAGATGTGTGGGTGCCCATGTGAAGGCATGTAGTCTCATGTGCCTCCCTTTTTTTACTCAAATATTGAGCACCTGTGTGTTGGACACTAGGGATACAGTACCAGCAGAAGGTTGCTAATAACCTTATTCCTGCACCTTCCTCTCTTGAAAGTGAGCCTCCATTCATGACCAAAATTGTGACATTTGTAGAAATAATTATACCTGAGAACTGATTATTCCTGCTGTATAATGTCCAGGAATACTACATGGAATAGTTCTACTCTCTTTTTTCTTATTGTGATCCAGGTGAAAGCTTACAGAGTAAGTTGGTTTTCTATTCAACAATTCATACACACTTTGTTTTGTGAGGTTCCTTGCAGTCCCCACATTCTAACAGTACTCTTGCCATTTCTTCCCTGTGTTTACCATTTCCCTTCATCCTGTCCTTATTTCCTAT